TTAATCCCTCAATGGGACCAGTCACCAGACTCAGAGCTCCACAGGCTTACGACTAATTGGCTGTCGTCAGCACCGACATGCTGATGTCTAACATGATGTCTGACTTTGAGGACTGAAAATCCCCCAATGTTATAGTAAAAAATTAAGCTATTAATACAGATGATAAACCTTTCCATGATTCTGAAAAGGTTTCTCTGTATACAGGCACATGTAAATTCCTGTTTAAATTATAGGATCATGTAATCTAGTAATATCTACAGCCTCTATTGTAGCTCCTATATTGGACTTACAGCTTTTACAACACAAATCCACTCCACTGCAGTCCTAATCCTTCTGTACAGTCACTGGTAATGGCTTATATGGACCTTATTACATTAGTACAGCAATTAGAGACCACAGAATACGAGATTTACAATCAAACAGCAGCAGAGGCAGAGCTTAGAAAAGTACAGCAGCTTTTAACTCACATTCAACATCTCAATTTCTGAAGATTTTCAGTTGGTATAACTGTGACCAAATGAGAAATCTTGAATTATTTTTCCCTTCGCTAACATGATTATCCAAGAAGAAGATTCCAAATGTGCAGACATCAGCCAAAGCTGTTCCAATTAGTCAAAAAAACCGAGTGTGCCACATAATTTGAAAACCCTCCAAAATGAAATGAGTTCTTCCTTAGTCCAGTTTTCACGCTTGCAAAAGTTTTTTGCGGAAATTCTAACAGTATTTTTTATTTAATCTTGCAGACAAACCAACAAACAAACCACACCGAAAATATATCCTCCTTGGCTGAAGTATTCGCAGTAATGATTTCTCATAAGGCTGTAGCGGAACAAACCCCTTGGCTGTGTGGCTGTAAACACTTAAGAGAGCTAAACCTCAGTCATGTGAGAGCCGTTAGAGCTAATGCTGTTAATGAATGAAATTCTGTTTACCGTACAATCCACCCCTTGATGTAAGACTGCTCATTCGACATGCCATCACCATTGGTTTTAAATGCTTTGCGGAATAAATCGGGATGTTTGAGGTGATGAGGGTTCTTTGGGGTTTTGGTGTGGTGGACTATTACATTTCTGGCTCCAATATTCAGCCTGATATTTCCTTAGCAGGGATCATCTTGAACATATCTCTGTGCAGAATCCATTTGGGACCAGTTAAATACCTATTTTTAAAGGGCTTGACCAGACAACGAAAACAACATCTTTCTGAGACACAAAAAATAAGCCCAAATCTTGATTTGATCTGAGTGAGAGAAGATGAGAGGTCGACTCAAGGCAGTGCAGATAAACTGGTCGCATTGATATCATGTTAGTGTGTCCATAAAGAGCTGCAAGTCTTTCATTTCCAAATATAGAAAGGGAGATATGAAGGGAAGGGATCAAGTTACTGTAGGTTGCGAGGAAGTGGGAAATATTTGCTGGTCAGCTAAAACGATAAACTCGGCTGACTGAGATCAACCATTAATGAAAGACATGTTTTATGTACAGACATAAACAGCATGCATGTCAACTTGTACCAAGTACTCAAGTTTGTACCCCTATGTACTTTTCTTTAAATGAAGCACAATCATCCAATCAAATCAGAGATGGACCAAGGCTTTCTACAGCTTTAATACATTTCGGATACACAGTAGTACAGGACTGAAGCCTTATGTGGATTAGTTTATCAAAAACATCGGACTCATAATCAAATGTTGTTCGTTTGTTATTTTCTTTATGAACAGTATTGTCATTTGATATCAATGTAAAAAAGTGAGTCATCAATCAAACACATGAACTTACAGCACTTAACTCAGTTTTTAATACACTGCACATTTCTTCCTGAGCTCAATATCCTCTTAAAATGAGACATTAGAAGATCATTCGTAGAGTTTTATGTTCTTAATAATGCTTGTTTCCCTAGGTCAAATGTGGAGTGTATGTTTCCCAATGTGCAGGCAGGTTATTGACTAAATGGATTTTTAACATTCAAAATACATTTCAGGAGTCCATCTCCGAACATTACTTTGCAATGTAAAATTCTGCAATGATAGCCCACTCTCTTATTACGATGACCCTGTCAAATAAGGGCCCTGGGAATATAGAGGGGGGGGGTGACCCCTGCTTACTTTGTTGACATATCCAGCGTACAAACATGATAGTGCGTCATCAATTAGAATTTAGCTCAAGATAGCAACTATTTTCCAGATGATCAAACCAGACTTCAGACTTTGTCATCAATTTACGCCTAAAATAAAGGAAAGTAGCTGTTCCTAGATCTGGTTCATTCTGGGCTGGATTATTGAACACTATACAAGGTCCAGTCTGGCTGTCACATTCTGCCATCTTGTCACATGTGTCTCGGCAAGTTATCCAATAAAACATTAAGTGGGAACAGCGCGTAAAAAGGAAAGCATCCACACAGGATAAACATCTTTTATTCTCCCATTACTAGTCTCCCCAGATGTTACAAAAGCTTTTTTATGAGTTGTGTTATTGTTTTACATCTTCATTCCTTAGGACTGAAGAAGCTCAATTTGACCCAAAGGGCCATAAAAGGATATGAGATATAAGGAATGTGGCCAGATAACAGAGCTGCACACCAATATTTATTTGTTCCCTCCTCCCCTCTTTGTCTCTTCATTCTTTTTACATCCAGACTCGAGTCTAACCGCACATACCTCACTGGGAACATGGCCTTCAAAACCGGGGTATTTCCTCTTGAGCTGTTCAACCATTCAACAGCTGCATAGTCAGCAGGAGACGGTGACTACAAAGGAAAGTATCCCTTCAATTTGACATCTTAGCAATAAAGAATGTCACTGTTACTTTGACTTTCCCTTAAAATGCAAAAAAATATTTAAGAAAGTAACAGTACTCAGTAGTGTGCACAACGTGCATGTCACTGATAACAATGTCAATTTTCAAAATCCAAAGTAGAATGACGTAGAATGTCAGGTTTCATTGGATCCACCCTTTCTGTTTGGGTTTCATACAGAATGGGAAAGAAACCCAAACAGAAAGGGTGGATCCAATGAAACCTGACATTCTACGTCATTCTACTTTGGATTTTGAAAATTGATATTATTGTCCTATAGCTCCAACATGCTTTGACTCCTAAGGCCTGTTAACATGTATTAAAACTGTATTTTCAGTTTGGTTTTTCTCTTGTCTTACAGCTCTTCTTCTTATTTCACTTCTCCATCTCGTCCTGTTTGAAATGGGGCTGTGCTTAGCAACAAGCCTTAAATGGACTCAAGACAGAACCTGGACAAACACTCTCATCAGTCACTCTGCACAGTCTACATTCATTTACAGCTGCATCACCATTCCGGATAAACAAACTCAACCTACCATGGTTACATAATGACTTTTGAACCAAGGAGATATTGGGTCCAAAGGTCCAAATCAAACAAGACGGGTCTGAAAATCCCTAAATCTGCCAGATTTCTGCAAAAACAAAAAAAAGATTATACGTGGCTTTTGAAAAAATAGGTCAAATTTTACTTTGGCGACAATAGGGCTAAAGAATTGGCCACAATCATTAGACTCAGGAGCTAAATCTATGTTCGACGTCTCGACAGGAATCCTTCAAGCAGTTTAAAGTGATACCACACAAGACTCTTAATAAATCTCTAAACAATGGTTTCTTCACATTAAACTTAGATGATTGTAACTGCGATTTTGGCTGAAAACTGTAGTTGTTTCTAAAAGTCTTGGTAGGGCGGCCTCTGTTGAGGTCTGTTTGCACTGATAAGCACTCATTCTTCGGGTGCTCCCCTCCCCATATTAACTGCATCTATAGAATACTTGATGTGGTTACATATAAAAGCTAGGGAGGGATTACTGTGTCAAATGTTAAGTTAGTTTATAGGTCTCTTCAGTCTTGAGTGTGTCTGGGTTTTTCTGTATACTGAGGATTTGTAGTAAGACGTGACTCAATTCACAAAATCCTAGTTTCAGTTCAAGGAGTTCTTTAGTTTAATCTATGTGTAGCAGTCTTGCAGCTCATTCCCACTCTTAAATTTACTTTCTCTCGAAGTCACACACACAAACAAAATGTTTGTCTAAGTCAACTCTGCTGAGAGGGCCATAAAAGCTTGCATTGTTGTCATGTCATGAGACTGAAAAGCCCAAGACAAAGAAAGTGGAAGGGGGTATCAGTGCGCCCAACACCACATCCCCACAGATCTGGTACAAAAAAAAGATACTTTGCTATAGTCTAAAGGCACTCATTATCCTAACCCTATGTGGTCCTATCACACTGCCAAGCCCAGTCCTATATATAGCCAGTCAAAGCATTCAAATCACTTCGGACTCCCACAAGCTACAACAGAAACATGCACTCCTCAAATTGAAATGAGGAAAAAAGTATTATATATGCACATCAGTTGAGCAACAATATGACTGATACCACATCAGAGCATTAACAGAAATGTTCATCTCCTAGATTGTCCTGCTTAAAAGCAACAGCAAGTTTGGTTCCTGGATTTTCTGATTAGTCATTCACTTCCAGTGTAAAATCAGTCTCTTCGGTCAATCAGCTCTGAGTCATACAGCTGACTGTCATCGCCAATTACAAGGAACAAGAGTTCGACTAGATGGCTTCAACAAAAGACAGTGTCAAGTCTTGGACATCCCCCAATATATTCATTAAAATGAGCACACTTGAGTAAATGATTTGTAGTTTCTATCAGCAATAATACTTGTGTTGTTGTCAACATGTTTGGCACATCAGTACAAGATGACTAGTGACACATCCCATTAAAAGAGCCAAATAAAAATCACATCCCGTCACACAGAGATTTAAAGATATTGTACATGATGAGTTGAGATTAGTAATATTAATATTCAGACGAGATGTCAAATCAAGATTGTGCAATCTTCCAAGGCATATTTTATGACTCATCTTGTAAAACATGAAGACATTTGAGTAGGCTAAGTTGGTTCAACAGAATTTACTATCACAATATAATTTCATCATAATCATTTAACAGTACTACATTATGACAAAAAGACACTTACTTCCTTCTCTTGAAGCAATCGTACTTCCCAGCCATGTTGTTTAACTGTTATAGATTATTTCCCAACACTTCTTTGTGCCTCTTTGGAAAGATAAATGTGTTTTTTCTTGGTTTGTCCAAGAATAGACAACCTTCAAATCCAACACCTTGTTCTGTTGTCCCAATCCAAACTCCTTTTTTCTTCCTGAATATCCAAGACTTCTCTCTCTTTCCAACAGAGAAGAGACCACTCCACAACAGGAGATTGCTCTGTCTTCAAGTCAGAACATCTTCTGAGGTTCCTCCCCCTTTTCAGCTCTACTACAGTCAAATTTTGTTGGAAGGAGATTTCTCTCAACTTTGACAGCAACAGCAAAACAGCAAGCCAATCCCAACAAATCCAGTACTCAACTGCAGCCAAAGTATGATTATAACAGGATCACAATAAAACACAAGAAGCAAAGAATGACAGAAAGATAGTTTGAATCTTCCTTATTAAAGGACCCAGGAATGTCTTAAAAAAAAGAAAACGTATTTTCCTATTGTGCCTCACAGAACTATGGTACAGCTCCCTGGAGTGGTACAATACGGCAGTAAGCTATAGGGAAACAATTCACTAAATGAGTGAGTGAGTGAGTGAGTAGCTGCTGCATGCCTCACTCCTCTCCTCCCGTCACCACGGCTGGTAATGCAGCAGGGGGAGGGCTGAAGGAGGGAAGAGGATAGAGAGGGTGGAGTGAGGAAGGAGGCAAGTGTGAACAAGAGACTGCCCCCCATTACTTTCACCTCTTTCTTTGTCTCTCTACTGTTCAGTGATATTAAGTTATATATCCTTTAGTATGTAATCAGGTTCAAAGAGGTGCATTTATTGTACAATCTTAACTTTGATGTGAAAACTGAAGGAACACAGCCTTTGGTAAGTGCTAGAGTGGCCTCACCAAAACTGGCATACTGTGTTAACCTGGTGTCACTGTCAACACTTAAGACTTCAACTACTGGCGCTGTATGCTAGATTGTGTAAGCTAGTGTAGATAGCTAGTAAGCTAGCTAGCTATAAAGAAATGTTTTTCATTACCTAAAAGTGATTTAAAGGTGGGGTAGGTAAGTTTGAGAAACCGGCTCGAGATACACTTTTTGTTATATTCCATGGAATGCTCTTAATATCCCGATAGCAATGAATATCTTAAGAGCTTTGACAAAAAATCCATAAAAAAATGGCCCGGCTAAAATCACTGGATGGCCTACCTGCCTGTCAGCCTTCCATCTGTGCACAAACTTATCTCGTGCCCTCATTGGTCATGTGCGCGTTCGTGTGTGTTGGAGGAGGGGCTCTGTAAGGAAGTGGCAGATTTTTTCCGGCTGTATATTTTCAAATTCTAGCGATCTCGAGCCGGTTTCTCAAACTTACCTACCCCACCTTTAAGTCTCCATGTATAATGAATTATAGCTGTTTTTGGTGTTACAGATAGTAATTTATTCTTTATGTTGAGTTGTAGCAGGGTTCAAACGACCATCTGTGTTGATGCTATGCAGTATGCCAGTTTCGTTCAGTGACGCTGGGCAGCACTAACTAATTATCACTTAGCTGAAAAAGTAAAGCTGTACTGTTCTGTGATGATATTTGGATTTGAGGTTTTCTTAATTGTTGATAATATTTGTTGCCCCATTTCCCCTAAAATAATAGGTCTTATAGGAAGCTAGTTAGCTTTTGTGAGCTTATAACCACTGTCTTGATAGACAGCTAGCATAATGTGCTTTCAATGTTTTAGAATTTTTCAGCACATTGTTTTGGTTTTCTGTCCCTCAACATTAACATTAAAGCCTCCATAACATATTTTCAAGTTAAAGCCGGTTTTCATGCAAGAACTGTAATAAACACACCTGCAGCAACACACAGCAGACCGATTACGTTACATCACTCTCTGAATCATGTGAATGTTGTATTTATAGAATGTCCCAAGGGACAATACAAATAAATTAAGCAGATTTAACTTTCAATATTTGTCATTTAACTAATAAACCAAAATGGTATAACTGACATATATTTAGAAACCATTGCATCTCATTCACTGGACATCCTAAGCAAAACTCTAGTACAGTAAAGTGTGTGCCTGGACCTTGACAGAAAAGATTCTGACAATTTAAGCCAGGCCATATAAGATAACATAAAGCAATTTTCATATATATTTATTGGATTTATTATCCAGTAAGTATATGGATGCATTCAGTATAGACTTTCCTTGTACAGTACACAGTGTTGTTCTACTTTCATATAATGGATAGGCAATTTCAAAATGAATCAATATACAGCACTTAGCGATCACAGCATCTATTTGTCAGTTGACAGATGTTTGTAACTGGACCATTATAATATAGGCTGTTGTTTATTAATGCAACCGCAAAGTATGAACAATATGGGCCACTACCATGACCAAAAATGAACACTGAACAAAAGATTAGATCAAAAGTATCTCTCCGATATCAGTTTTTGCCATGCTTGTTTGAGATGACTTATAAAATGAACAATATGTAGTTTGTACAACACATTTAATACTTTAAAATACGTTACATTTATAAGTTTGATGGTGTCGTAAAGTAGTAGTTTGTTATTTACATGTAAGTGGTCTTCAATCGGTTAAGATTTCTTGACTGTTCATTGTTCAGGAGGTTTTTGCCTGGAGCCGAATGTTTCTCTGACGCAGCTTGGCAGCAAATAACGTTCCAGAGGGAGTGCGAGTGAATTTGTCCTAAATTCTCAGGTTGTTAATATGATGAGTGATGATCCAGATATTCAATATGTTTTAACTGGAAGCGAAATGATCGGAAGAGGTGTGCTCTTCCCCAAAACAAATGGACTGAATGTTGACTCAAACCAGTAAAAACATTGGATTTAACCCTTTCATGTTAGAAATATCAACGTTGTGTGGCTAGCGTAGATTCCGTGTTTCTTTGGTAACATCACATTCGGAGGTTCAATTACTTAAATCCTAAATTTGTTTAACAAACATAGTAAAAAACAACCAAAAGAAGTAGGGCCTAGCGGTCATGCAACAGCCTGTCGCAGTTAATCACTATATGTAGGGAGTTTATCCACCTACAGCCACTACAGCTACAAGAGCTTATGCGTGTGTGTGTGGGGCTGCGGTGACATAAGGATTGATCCTGAGATTCCCTGCTGCAAAAACCTCTCAGACACACACAATCCAGAGAAGAGTCAATTTGAACTGGCCAGCTAACTTAAATAATCAATGTAGGATCATTACAGAAAAAAACAACAAGGTATTTTAATTGTAATCCATGACGGTTCATGTTTACCCATTCAATAGTCCGAGGATTAGGGAGATTTCAAGTGAAAGTTGTACTTCTTAGAAAATGCTTTGCACCAAATAGCAGCCCTGAATAAAATCCTATTCTACAAAAAATGGGTTTTATTCTAATATTGAGGCGACTGCATGAGAATTGGACCGAAATGTGTCAAAGCATCCCAAAAACAAAATCACATTAATCATCAAAATCAGTCACAGAGGAGTGGTGATAGTGGAAGGATTTTTCAACTCAAACATGCCCAGACTGAATGTTGTCTGTGTGATTCATTCCAAACATGTTGAAATTGTATCTAAGCTGTCTAAGTCACTGGTGTGTGTGCATGTGTGTCTGTCACTGTAAACAAAGACAGAGTCGGTCTGTATCAGTTCCAGAGCTCAGCAGCTCCATTTCAACAGCATTTGCACAAACACACTGTCTCCTAGATCAGTTTTGGCACACACTGAGAGATTCCTTTATTAACACGCGCACACCAGACACACACACACAACTCAATATAACTGAATCTACCACATGACATTGCCAATAAACCACCAGGAAGGACTCATTCAGAGTGTGTTTAAAGTAGTGTTTACAGAGGATTGCCACCATTTTAATGTATGTGTTAATCAGTCTTTCCACCATTCCATTCAACTCTGCCTTTGTTTATTCTAAGGAGAGTTAAACACAGCCAGTCTGGTCACTCTCACATAAAACTCAGTCAACACAACTATACAGGGTTAGTTGGTGTTTAGCTGCCAGATGGAGGAGAAGGCAGAGTTGAATTGAGTAATACAGCAAATGCTGGCGTTCATGGGGAAAATTGAGTTTCCCTATTGGATGTTTCCCTTCAGAATATCACTCAAAATGGATTCAGGGTGTAAAACATAATTTTCTTTTACATAGAGGCCATTAAAAACAGTCAGTAGCTTTTTCCCTGAATGCAAGTTGAATACCATTTGGACCAAATAAGCAGTTTGAAGATATCGTCATCTGACAATTTTTAGATTAGTCTTGATTCGAAAAATTAGATGGGTTTCAGACCAGAACCACATGCATGCATCATTGGATATTTTAAGATCTATAATGATGCAATACGTTTAGCACCAGACAACAATGCTTTCATGCCAATTAAGAGTCATTACCTGTGCAGAACACAATTTGAAGGATGCATTAATAGACTGCTTGGCCACTGCTTGGGCATTGCAACAGGCTGCTAACACAACATTTGTAATATCATCAACTCGTACATTTGTTATGGTGAACATGTCAGCAGTAACCTACCCATTTAAAGTCAGGAACATAGCAACAGTTCATTTGGAGTTTAAGCTTCGTTTTTCTCTCCACACCTCAAGCTAAGTTTTGTTCTGTCATTTGGCAGGAAGTGTCCAATGGGTTCATCAGAATTATTTTGGAGCTGTCTGCTGTGACCAAAAAACGATACCAAAGAGAGTAAGGAGATTGAACTGAAATATTTATAGCTGCTTGCAGTAAAAACCAAAACAACGCGCTGAAAGATGCTAAAACGCTACAAGAGAAACTGCAGATGGGTAACAATTATCTATAGGTCTGTCATCACGAGCATCTCCTTTAAGATCACACATTGTCAAATCTAGCGTTAATCACACAAGATGGATTTGCCTCTGTCCAGGTATTGTCACAGCACACGCATTCCAGGAATGTTACTTTCCCTTTTAAGTGGGAAAATTAACTTGTCTCAAAGTCTTTTGCAAAGGAATCTAAATACTACCCTGTGGAAGGAGATTTATGACCTTCCAGTATATGAAACACCTGGTACCTCACTCCTTTTACCTCTCAAAAATCACCAAGAGGAGTTTTTTTTCAAAACACAGCTATCCAATGTCTCGTTGTATGTGTGCTGTATGAGTTTCCCAATGGCGACAAGTCCTAACGGATCCAAGAGCATGGCGAAATTCTTCATGTAATATTTAAATGGGCACGAGTGTGTGTTTATGTGTGTGTGTATGCATGTATCAATCATACAGCGTTCTGTTTATAGAACCAAGAGGAATGTCGGTCAGTTTCCCTTCAAGGAAAAAAAAGTGGTATTTCCTGAAACGGCCCTGAGTCTGGACCCACCGAGGGAGAGAGAAAGAGAAAGAGAGACCAACTGGAAGGCAGTGGATTTATTAAGTCTGCCTGGATGTCATGTTTTCGGTTCTCGTATGTCTGTCAACATTACAGAAAAACTGCTGGCTGGATTTTGGGTGAAGCATGGGCCAAGAAAGAACCCAAGCCATTTTGAAGGGAATAGGAATCATGGGTCACACCTTTTTTATAGTTTCATAAACATTGCCATATAGGACATGGCTTTGGCTGTCTTGCCTTCATCAGTGGAGTGAA